CCCAAGCATCCGGCCCGCCCCCCCCCCCCCCTGCCCCGAAAAAAAAAAAAAACCATGGCACCTGGAAAGCTTATTTCAAGGATCCGGGAGGACACAGGGTCAAGGGTGGGAGGCCTAGGGGAGCCTGCAGCTCCAGCTGACCTTGTCCTTCAGAAGGAGCGCAGCAGTCGCTCCGCAAGTCGCTCAGCCCGGCTTCCGGGGTTTTTCGTACAAGCCTGTGTCCCCTGTCATGAAACGGCTTTACAGAGGCGAGGACGAATATTTCTAAAGGGAAGTAGAATTGGAGCACCTGCCAGTTTGAGTAGCAGCCTGCTACCCTACCCTCTGCCACGGCATAAATAATCACAGCCAAAAGTTTTACCCCAGAGACCCTGAGCTCCGCAAGGAAATGTTTCGTGCCAACGAGCAAAGCCGTCGCTCGCCACTCAGGTGGGAGCCCGCACCGGAGAGGTCTCCTTCCAGACCCAGCCTCTCATCTACAGTGTCGAAAAACTGGGTGAAAAGCTCAGATTTGCACTCCGGTTTCTGTCCTTCGCTAGGAAGACGCAGGCTCGTGACGAGACTGTGAGTCACTGGATTGCCTCAACAGCAAACAACCTCCAGTAACCTTTCAGGAGCTGCATTTCACAAGTGCAAATGGGAAGGTATTCCCGAAAGAGGGAGAACTAAATGACTAACTTTCTACCAGCAGGCACATATCTTTCCCTCTTTTCATGACTTCCAGGCCGGACTATGCGCACTTTCTTACTTAGATACACCTTGACAGGCTGTCCCAAAGCTACGACCAGGTTTTAGAATATTTCACAGTGTCTGTCACGTTTCACCTTATCAACCCTGTTCTCTGCTGGTAAAACAAATTTGTTTTGACCAACGCATACCTGGGAAACATTTTTTTAAATGTTTAACTCTGCTGGGGCTCTTCGGACTTTGTTTTCAATAATCTTTGGGGACTCTGAGCAGAGCCACTGAGTGAAAAATCTGGAAGAGATTTAGGTTGCAATAATTGTTTGCAATATTAATCCACACCCATCTTTCACGCTGCTTAGTAGGAAAACTGCTGTAAACATTAAAAGCCAAGTCCTATCATTGCGAACATGCAAATAGCTGCACGGATGATACCACTGGGAATTTTCACATAACTGAGCCATCAACTGCTGGAAGCCCATTTTAACACATTTCTTAGAGCTACTCTAAAGTCAGGCTATACGTAATCATCCGTGCTCTGATGCTGAAAATTCTGCGCCAGTCGTCTGCACTGAGAGGTGGTGCCAACATGAGCTGGGTGAGCAACTGCAAAAGAACAAAAAGAATAACAACAAAAAAAAACCTCCAAGAGTTCCCTAAAGATCAATACGCTGTTCATGACACTTTTTCATCAAATTAGTAAAACTCTAGCTCTGGACGGAGATACCTTTATCAGAATGAAAGGTGGACACAACCTGCCAGGCTAATGAATTTGCTTTTCTTATTCTTGCCCTTTAAGAGGCAAGACAGAGGTGCCCTCATATTAGCCCCTCTTAAAAAAAACTCCTCCAGCTACATCACGAACTCTGCTTCTCACCAATGTGCTTGTGATCTTGATTTTTCCAGGAGTCTTACTTTACATTCATCCTGCTAGGTGCTCAATTGCTCAGTGACTGCCAAACCACCATTGCTCCTGAGGGCTCCTGGCTGAATCACGGCGGGGTCGTTTCCATTTGTTGACAGTGGGAAGCTGTGCCCCGACCTTGCAGCCCTTTGCTTATGAGAACTTCGCTTGCTCTCACCTCACCCAGCACCAGGCAGCCACCCCTGCCCCCTTGATTTCTGCAGCTTGTCTCCAGTCCTCCTCTCTTCTTCTTTCTCTTTTTCCTTTTCCCTGATTTTGTGTGCATGTTATGTATCAGCACTTGGACTGGTGATGCAGTGGTCACTGGCTGTCTGCCTCGTACTTACCAGCTCAGAGGGAGCATAAAGAAAAGCCTTTGTGTTTATTCTTACGTTCTGCCCAGGGTGGGTGGCTACATCCACCTTTTGATGGCGGAAGCAAGGGGGTCCATGCAGCCGAGCGGAGGCAGCGTGCGAGGCAGCAGCATGGCCTGTACCGGCCAGTGTTAGAGAGGTGGGGTCCGCAGAGGAGGGAGGCAAAGGGTTGAGGCTTTCACATCTCCGCTAGAAAATCTGTGTCTCGTCCTGTTCCTTTCTGCCATTCTTGGCACGGTTGCAAAACAGATGTGATTAACGCTGCCTATTTTTAATTCTGTGTAACTCAGATTTATTTTCTATTTGAGGGTTTTTGGTGTCAGTCGTCTCAGGTACTAAGTAGCTGTGGTGGTTTCTGATGCCTGTGTTTATTGCCGCTGATTTTAGCTCGAACAATTCATTCCTTTAAAACTTCTATCTGGCCTTTATAGTCAGCCATCCAAGAGCGTCAATACTTTCACATATTTTGATATAGTGTAGTATTTCCTGTAATTTATTGCTTAAAAGTTAAGTTTATAATTTCTCAGTAATGGAAACAAACGCATGCACCATAGCAATGTTCTGCTGTATAAATGAAAGAGCTCCCTCAAGTGGTACAAGTATTTTTAACGTTTCTCTAGAATAATAATAAAATGCTAGTAAACTTAGACATAAAATCTAAAGTTGGCTGTAAGTGTAGTGATGAATAAGCTTCCGTTTTTCCAGCATAACCAGACAAAATGACACTGATGTAAGACTGAGGCCAAAACTCAAATAGGCAAGTGCTGCCGTTACAAAAAGTGACATTTAAGAAACTGTAGAGGATTTCAGACTGATCAGTAATGCATGACTGAATTTTGGCAAGAGGACCTAAAACGAGCTCCAGCAGATATCACATTGTTGAGGATGTCTGATGCATTTATAAATCTTAAAGATTACTTTTTAAAGCTCAGGTTCAAGTTTTCACAGTTGCTACTATCAACGTATCAAGATTTTGCGTGTAATTACCCTTGCTCCTCTTTACTTTGTGTGAGGCGTATAGTTTTCAAAATATTTGTTGACAGAGATTGAGCTGAGCAGACTTCTGGGATAAGACAGCAGGAATCAAACTCCGACTTCAGAGCGCAAATCCTTGCGCAGTTACGTTCCAAGCAATAAAGTCGCAGTTTACGCTGGCAGATGGAACAGTCAGAAAGAAGCAAGCTCATCTCTTTCAGCAGAGGGCAGTGGTATCCTTACTCAAGCAACACACCACTTCTTGCTCCTGAACTGAAATGGTCCTGTGAAAGCATAAAACCCTGCTGCCGCCAGCAGGTTGCTGGCCTCCGCTCAGAGCTCAGCAAATCAAGCCTCGAACTTCTTGACCTGACCACACAGGAGACGCATCAGCCAACTTCATTGCTGTGATTTCATTGCTCAAGTATGAAAAGGGGAAACCCGCGTTATTTTCTGAGGAGCAAATAATTTTCCTTTTCCCTACCATTTTTGAAGTAATAGGAGTAATCCTGCCACCTGGGCTAGTGTAATAGCTTTTTTTTTTTTTTTTAATGAGAAGGTTATTTCTTGAGTACAGTTAACAAGGAGATCCTCCTAATCTGCTGAGCACCAAATTAGGAACAGTATTGAATCTGTATAGGTGTAATTACTGGGTAACCCTGCTAAGCTGAGCTGTGTTTTCTGAAACTGTTCTTTACTTCCCATAACACAGCCAGCTTTTCCTCTCTCTTAGGCTCAGAAACAATTTCATCAGGGTCCCAACCACATTATTCTATTATAATCATTCTCCTTGGGGCACCAGCTCAAACCAGCCTCGGATTTATTTTGCAGCATGTTCCGCTGCTTATTAAAATTGCATGAAAGAATTGAAACCACCTCAATGAGAGAGTCTCTGAAGTTGTTTCAGCAAAATGTGCAGTCAACCCTGGAAGAGTGTCTTCAGAGATTAGTTCCAGAACAAACAGGTCGGGTTAATGGTATTGACTCATCTGCTTTTAAGGGCTTTCTAAATATTTTTTTGTGGAAACACAGCACTGAATTTGGCTAGGCTCTCCTTCCCATTCCTACAGTAGCCACTGTACATGTTGCTTGTGACTCCACAGATTGCCATCTATGTTGTAGAGCTGGGACCTTTCCACGTGAAAGTAAGACACACTAGGCAGAAGACTAGACATTTTACACCTAGTATACTGCCTGCTTACTACTCCTTAGGTCCATCCGCTCATTGCAGCTCTGGTGGCCCTCATAGCCTGTTGTGTGGCCCTGGTCTGGATGCAGATGGCTAGGTGCCTTCTCTCCTAGGCAGTTAACATCTTACTCTGCCTGCTATGAGTCTGAGTTTTGATCCTTTTAGACATCAGTCCATAAACACTTCAGATGTCCTAAATTTGGTCTGCAGTCCAAATGCTAGCTTGAAAGGGGAATTTACTGGCATATTACAAATAAGGAGAAAGCAAAACAGAAATAGGAATTTAACAACTGCACAAGTGAACAAACAGGTATATTAAAAAAAAAAGGGATGTAAATATCATGTGATAAGATTCTGAAAGATGATTCTGGCCTTCCTATATCCTCTTGGTGGTGTTTCTTCTGCAACAAAGGGAACCTAACAGTGCATCTCAGAAACAACTGAGGATTTCTCTAATACAGAAAGGCCTAGAGCTGAAGAGGAGCTAGCATGGCTTGCCAATAACATCCATTGGTTAGTTGCTTTGGACCAGAAATCTCTTCCTCTCAATATTTCACGATAATTTACATCCTTTTTCTCAATGTAAATACAAAATAGTTTGCTACAATTCTCCCCATAGCTGCTAAGATGCACAGGTGGACAAAACAGTGTAAACCAGTACTGCCTACCATTCCCTCATCTCCCATTGGTTTTGTAACAGTGTAAATCCACTGACTGCTGATAAACGTGGGGGAGAATTAGGGCTTATGTAATGACTAGGCCAGAAAAGACAGTTGTTTGCAGGTAATCATACGGTCCTACCTATTCCATTTTTTGGAATGTTATGGAGGCTAATAATTTCCTATGTGCAGTAATGAACATTTTAACTTTTCTAACATGTGAGATTTCCACAGCTTTCTCTGCTTCCCAGTTCTAGAAACAGAAGCAGGTTCTAGGGACAGGGCTGTGAGGGCATATTCCAACATGAGTCGGAAGATGATTTTTTTGGTAGTCTTTATTTTACAGTCTTCAGAAATAACATGATAAGGCAAGAGGAAAGGTATTGAACTTGAAAGGTGCAGGAAAAAAAACTATTCAGCTGGTATCATGAGAACAAAGCACCCAGGTTTTCTCTTTGTGGGAAAATGAAATCCTTAGGGTTATCCAGGAGAGAAGTTACAGAGAAATGTAGCTTAGATAGCCAGTGTTTACAAGATATACAGGGCACACTATAGAGAAATCCAGAAGCATCAACATGGCAGCTAGAATCATAATGTCAGAAGTGGCAGATCTAAAGATAACGGAAGTCCCAAAAGTAAGAGGATGTGAGGAAAAAT